CCCGCCCGAGGGCCCTGCCCGCCCGCGGGCCCTGCCGCAGGGAGTCATCTCCCCCGCTGAAAGGCGGCAGGAAAAAAAACGAAAATGCATACTGGATTTTTGACTTATTTTCTGCGTATGAAAATGTTGAAAATATTCCGTAGTAAGTTATTGCATACTTTACTTTGAAATGCTTGTGTTCTTATAAATGTTCTTTTGACTAAAAAATTAGATCTAAAGTACAAATCTAAACGTACTGGTTAGGTTGTTCCTTCGTCTCATTTAATGTGGAAAAGCATTGTACTAAACACTCGTTTGCAGTTTAATGAGAACTATAAATTATAACGGTAAACAGAATGAAATGAAGTCAGGATGAGCTCTGAAAATAGAGCTGTTAGGCAAGAATTTCTCAAGGAAAATAGGGCTGAACAGCGAATAAAGCATTCACTGATGATACTGGCAAATGAAAATGTAAGTCTATTTAATAAAATGTACCAATGAGAGGAAGTTGGTAGACATCATAGATACAGTGAAAGGTCAGAGTTTCTTGTAGAAAGAATCAGATTATGTTGATCACTGGAGTATATCTGGGAATAGGATGAATATAATATAAAATCCAAGCTCATGAACTCGAGAATTAGGGCCCTGCATCCCTAAATATGTCTGGACATCAAACTAGAAGTTAAACACCAAATACCTTGCGGGTTTTGGGGACAAATAATATGTTCTGCATTAAGTTCGGGACTCACCAGCTTCATGAAGGAGAAGGATTTAGATGTGTTAGGCAGTTATGGGACGGTGACAACAGCAAGCTTGACAAGTAACTTTTTTGGCAGCAGGGGAAGATGGTATACAGCACTGTCCTTCCAGGTGTTTTTTTGCCAACATGAGCATTTGTGTGGTATGTTAGAAACTAGATCAGAGAGGTAATCCAACTCACAAGTAACAATTCTAAAACTTTTTCTTTCTTGACTTTTCTGAATTTACTGTTTTGTCATTATGAGTTCCCTGATTGGGTTCTTCATGTGGCTGCAAAAATACAAGTGCTAGCTCAGCACGGGCGTTGGGGGACAGCACAAGGACAGAAGTGAGCAGCTAGAATTGGAAGAATGATAACCTATGCAGTATTCCCTCTGTGCATCTGACCGTGGCTTGCCATCCGCTCCTAAGATGCATCTGGCAAAGTATTTGTGGTAGAAAGAGAGAAGTATTGCTGCCATTTTACAGGTTTAGTTTACAGGTCTGTCATATGGAATACTGGTACAAGCTTCCTGTTTCTCACATACAGAAAAGATGACAGTGAATGGAAAAAAATATACAGAAAGAACCACAAAAGTTTAGAAGAACAAGAGCCTTTTATGGGAGAGGAGACTGGAAAGGCTCAAGTTGTGATTAGTCTAGTGAAAGAAGAGTGGAGAAGAGATGCTTTTACTGTCTCTGAATAAACAGGGATAAATACCAGGAGGGAGACCCTGTATTTAGCCGAGAAACAGCTTTGGCAGAACAAATGACTATGAAGTGAACAAGTAGGCATTTAACATGGAAATTCCAAGAATATGCATAGTTAGCTGAAAGAGGCCCTGGAACAATTTTCCATTAGAATTTGTGAGGGCAGGAAACCTGGCTGCATTAAGACTGAACTTGAAAATCAGCAAAGGGGATTATATAGAAGCAGATGGATGTTGAACTAGGGAGTTCCTATTTCTCCCAGTCCCATGTTCCACTACTAGGATGCAGTTAAGCCCTTTGAAATTTATAAAACCTGAAATCTTGGCTCTGTTTATATCAGTAATAAAACTGTTGCTGGTTGTAGTGGAGCTAGGATTTCTCTTGGGGCCCTAGAGAGTTTGAATAGTTTTAGGAGTGATGTGTGTGTTGAGAGCATTCCCAGTGATTTCCACTTCAGCCTGCTAGGTCCCAAGGGCAGGAGAAACAGTGTATTCCCATTATGAAAGAGAGAAATGGAAAGCCCAGAGTTGATCTGTATAAAGTAGATCCAGTCTCTATACCAGGTTTTACTGCAGGAGTGTACACAAAGGGCTGGTGCTCAGTCATGCGCACAGCTGAGAACAGGCCGAGAACTGTGTGAAAAAAGGTATGGTAAGGTAAGTGGCATTAATTGTAGTACATGATGATAGCACTCTTTGCTTTCCTTCAGGCTGAGAAAAAAAAAAAAAAAAAAGAAGATTCTTTATTCTTCAACCTCTAGCTGACCATAAATTCTATTAGTCTTCCTATAGGGAGTTTTGGCTGATGGATTTTTAGCATTCTCCAATCTAGGGTACTTGAAAATGCTGTAAAAAAAATCTCTAAATCTCTGGAAAATCCACTGTTTAATTTTTATTTCTGCATCTTAACTTGATGAACAACTGAGAAATGTATTTTAAAATTATGAAAGAAGCACACATTTTATTGTCTTGAATTTCTATGGCATTTCAAAAGTGCTTAAGGATCTATTCATTCTTAAAATAGTTCCTTTGTTTTAGACCAGGTTATCAAAAATCCTTATGATCAAGAAGGAACACATCAAACAATTGAGAGAGATGAATACAGAAGCAGAAAAGCTGGTGAGAATGTTCTCTTTTCAGTTCTTAAAACAGGATATGCTTTAACAGCTAATGTGAATAGATACATTTAAAACTAGATAAAATGTGTATTTTATCACTTTCTATAATGTGAAAATTTTTTATTATTTTTTTAAAGACAAGTCAGAGAGGTCAGTTCAAATATGATTCTCCTTTGAAAACATGATGCTTTGGAAACCAATTAATGTTACTATCGGGATAGCATATGTCAGTTGACACGTAAAGTAAGGAAATACTATGTACTTTGAGAATCTTGGGTACAAGTTTATATGGCAAGATATTCATCATAATTTTATTCTGTGGATGGTAGGTACTTATTTATTTAACTTTCTGGCTAAAACAGTAACTCAGTTCAGAGATTTTCTATATAAAGCTCTGAGTGCCCTTGACCGGCATTTAAAATTACAGTACCAGAGCAGCTACAGCATAATTAGCAGCAGCAGTTTTGTCTTGCTAGGCTTTATCTAATCATCAGTCAGTAAATCAAAATGATAAGAATGCCTCTTCTACCACCCATGGCTGTCAATCAACTTGAAAGTGGAAAGCTATCAGTCTCAACCTTCTGCTAGCATCCATTCAGACAGTTGTCTCTACAACGTACAGACAGAATGCTAAAGGTTTGTGGAGAGGAAGAGGAGTCTTTTTTACTTCTTGAAACAAAAAAGCTGATTTTTTTTTCATGTAAAATATTTGAATGTTGAAGGATTTGATTTATTGTGGTAAGATTTCCCTCTTTGTCCCTTCAGTGATCATGTGCAAACATGCATTCTGTTGTTCTACTTCCTGCTGCTCCATCCCTATGTTTCTGTAATTTTCTTCTTTTGTGCTGTGATGCTGCTCTTCAAAACCTTGTTATCATTTCAGTTGCTACATTATTTTTTCCTGTGCATCAAATGTTTTGTCTTTTAATTTTGCATATTAATAATTAAAAGAGATGCAAAAAGAAGCAAGATTAAAGCATACTATTGCAACCTTAAACTCTGATACTGAAAAATTACCAACTTTTCTTAAAACAAAGTAAAAAACTTTTTGTTTTTACTGAGTTATTAGTACTTTTGCATAGATAAGGAAGTCCATAGGAATGATAGTAGCCTTACTCTGACAAGAATCCAGATATTAACATGTCACTCGGCTACTGTCATAAATCAACTGTACTGTTGTTTTCCTTGATATTCTCATTCCACAAAATTGAAAGAGCAAAAAAGCAACAGGGAAGAAGAGAATCTAGAAATAAACGTTAAATTTGATAGATTTTAGCGCAGCTGCAGCCTAGATAAGGACTTTGAGATACTTTTGAAATTCTTCCCTTACTCTATTTCCTTTGTAAACCAGCAATCATAAAGCAACCTCAGTTACCATTCAAGGCTGTCCTGATAAAAATAGAGGATGTGATGCCTTTCTATTGGGCCATATTCTTAGCCCAATAGAAATCTAATCTTCTAATCCTCTTTGTCCCTTGGCAATCCCATCTACGTTTGTGCCACTGCGTTTATGTTGTTTCTCCTTTAAAATGTATTTTCTCTGAACAAGAAACTTTTTCTGGCACCAATCCACTTGAACATCAATAACATACTTGAACATGAATAAAATAGAATCCTTTGAGTTCATTCAGGTATAGTTTAATTGTCAGGCTTTGATAATAATTCATACAATTGTGATTTAATAATTGTTAAGAGTAACACCACTGTTTGGTTTAAAGCAATCCTTTTATGGAGACTTTTTTTAAAATGACTGATCCAATATAGAAATAAATGGAACTGACCAAAATCAGAACTGCTACTGAATGTGTAATCCATTATTATCTGGCAATAATAATAAATTTACATGAGGCAGGGGATGCCTTCAGAGGAGCTATTAATACATACAACTGCACATTCTCTATTTCATTTTTGTGAAAGGACACCTTACTAATAGTTAAGCATCTTGACATCGCTATACTAGTTTTGGTTGCAGGCTATGAACAAGTTACAGTGTACATAAAACAGTAAACACTTTTCTGATAGCTATTTGGATAAACAAATCTAAATAAAAAGGATGGCTAGTTCATTTTTTTCACTTTACCTGCAATAAAGACAAGGTAAAGGTGATGCTGGTTGTTCCAGAGAAGCACGTAGATGCTCAGTGACAGAGCTGTTACCTCCTTCCATCTACTGAAAGCCATCTACCTTTTGTCTGCCAGTTCAGCCGTCGTCACTGTTTCCAGATCTTGGATTGCTTCTGGGTTAGAAATAGTGCTGGTGCTGAGAAATATTTCTTTCGTCCTCCCTAGCACAGAATGCCCGTAGCCTTTCCTCTCTGATGGGGATTTCACAATTGTCTGCAGCTTTCACAGCTAACCCAGAGTAGTCCAGTCTGCTCTAGGGGGCTGGTCACTGGGGAAGGTCTGAAAGTTACAATTTTTTCCCTATGTTCCAGAGCTGCAGGAAGTATGTCAAATTTATGCTGGTTTCCAGTTTGCTCTTAGGTGAATTCTAAAGTTACGATGTTAGTTTAAAGCCCTATTAATTTGGTATTCAGACTTTGAAAATCCCTAGAGATCATTTCAGTGATTAAGTTTAATGGAGAACTTTGAACTGAACTGATAACTGAAACCTTGATTTTGAATTTTTGACCTGGATCCTCCTGGTGAAGGCTGTTCTTGACTTTGCAATTTGCTTTATCTCGTGGTGTAAAATCTATAGCTACAGGGTTGATTGTATGAGGTACCTGTATCTCAGACTTGTGTCTGAGAAGCAGTGGAAATACATCCAGCTTATCTTGCAAGAGGCCATTTGTGGAGGAAATTTCATAATATATTGTATGTTTTGTTTCAGTTTCATAAATACCACCCAAGCAATGTCGAGGAACATTCTGAAAACAGTCTAAGAAAAAAGTACTGTATGCTGGTATTTATTTTTTGTGGAAAATTGTGCTTACCCAAAATACTTGTGTTACCAAATATAAGCTCTAGTATCTTTTTTTGGCAGAATTGTTAGCTGTAACAGAAGGTACATAGCACAGAGTCATCCTCAAGTGACCACTAATTTACTAGACAACTGTTCCTCCCATCCTGCAGCAGAGGTGGTCGTGGCCATGTTGTCCTACTGACAGGATAGTTTTCTGTTCATACAGTAGAGAGGAGCCATACCCAACCACTGGAGAAATAAGCAGATCAGACCACAGTCATCTTCTGTAGCATTTACCACCACAGATTATCATAGCACTTTATGAAGAGAGTGAAAGCATGGTAGTTACTACACAGTTGTCACTTGGAGTTTTAAATAGTGATACTACGTTTTAATATTTTGTATGTTAACATTTTTCTATTAACACTAGGATTTCAAATATCTCATTATGATTTTCAAGTGAAAATTCCTTTTGATGAGTTCAAAAGATGTAAATGTACAGTATCATATTAACTTTAATATGCTTTGTCTTTTCCACAGAAATCCTATTCTATGCCAATAGGCATTGAGTTTCAGAGGAGATATGCAACTATTGTTCTAGATCTAGAACAACTAAACAAAGACTTAAATAAAGTTTTACATAAAGTTCAGCAGTATTGTTATGAGGTAAGATTTTGCTGGAATCTGTATGTACTTGTTGGTTTTGTTTAACCTAAGTACAAAAAAAAAATAATTAGAATTTCCCAGGAATAGGGCATAGGTGGGAGTCGCTTTGAGATGAAACTAGTGGTAGCTGTATCAGATTCCTTCTCTTTCTGTCTCTGCCTTTGTCCATCTCTGTTTATTTTACCAGAACACAGACACTTTTGCTGCTCCTAGTGGCCAGTTTTGAAGTAGACATACATGTACATAAATTAAGAAAAAATACTGTGTACTGTATACCTGTGAACTGTCTTTGAAATCATTTGTCATTTCACACATACACCAAATGCAAAGGAGATCTTTATTCTTAATTTCTCTTTGTTGTATCTATGCAGCTTGCTCCCGACCAAGGCCTCCAGCCTGCCAACCAACCAACAGATCTGAGGCGCAGGTGTGAAGAGGAGGCTCAGGAGATCGTCAGGCAAGCAAATTCCTCGACAACAGGACAGCTTTGTGTTGAGAGTGAAAATTTAACTGATCTTATCTCTAGACTTACAGCAATATTACTGCAAATTAAGGTAAAATGTTCGCAAAAGATATTTTTTCCCATAGAATACGTAGTATTAAAGCTCTGTCAGTTTCTTTGTGCCGAACTGTGAGAACAGTTTTTGTTTTCTTCTCCTACAGTGTCTAGCAGAAGGAGGTGATCTGAATTCCTTTGAATTTAAATCACTAACAGATTCATTAAATGACATTAAGATTTCAATAGACTCCTCAAACATCAGGTATTACTTTTTGAATATTTAATTCTTAATTACACATTTTGTGCCAGCAAGCAGTTCTTACTGTATTTTAGAAGTAACCATTGATTATAATTAAGGGTTTTAATCTGGTAACTTTTACTTAGAGGAATGGTCCCATTTGAAAGGAGGCTTCTTAAAGGGAGTGTGAAATTAGCTGTTTTCTGTTTGAAGCTATCGGTGAAGTAACATAATTAAAAAAAAAAAAGGTGCTACATTGATGCAGCAACAACTACATTTTCTTGCTCTTCAGTCATTTATGACAACTAGTAAGTTATTCTGGAACATTTTCAGACTTTGAAATCCCACTAGTAAATACAAGTTCTGTAACCCACAGAACAGTACAATTTCAGTTTTCTTTTTGCATAATTACTCAACCACTTGTCTGTAAATATCAAAAGCTGGTATATGAGACAATTATAGCTTCTGACCAGCTTCCATTAGCAATATTTTAAACCAGGGAACAGAAGAACAGCCATACTGTGCCAGATCAAATGCCCATCTAGTCTAGATGAGGCCATTTTTCAACAGTTGTTACAAGCAGGTGCCTAAGGAGGCATTATAAAAATAGCAAGAATGTGATCATAGGAAAAATGTGGTGATACTTGACTGCAGTACACCGCAGCCTTCAGCAAGTTGTGACTAGGATTTTTTAAATAATTATAATGCTGCTAAATTACATAATTTGGAAAACATACCTAAATGCTAAGTATTTCCTTATACTCTCCATACTGGTATTCCTACATCATAATGGGAGGCTGCACACATGAAATTTTTTTTCCCCCCCCCACAGATAGTAGGATAGCCTTTTGATTTAAAAATAATTAGTGAGGAATGCTGTTGTATAACATTTTTCATTAGTAAAACAAAAGTAGGCTCCCAACATTAGTGAAACTTCTCTATAATCAACACTGCAAATTGCACATAGGAATGGTTTCAACTAAAGGTTGACGTACACTGCTAAGAAGGTGACGATGTTTCGATTTCACTGTACTTATTTGAGGCATTTTAGCATCTCTTCATAATATTTTTATTTCGTTAACTCTGGTCATGTTAAAGTCATCTTTGAAGTACCCAAGGCAGTAACTCTTGATTTCATGCAGCTGTTTGTGCAAATGCTATTTTCACGTATGTGTCTATCAAGTATGTGCTGCTCTCCGATTCATCTGAATTTTTGTAGTGGCTATGTTCGTACCTTGACTTTCACTGTAGAAATATTCAGACACAACTAACAAATATGGGGCTTAACACTTTTTTCTTCTTCTTCTTTTCTTCCTGTAGTTGTTTTCAGAATAACGTTGAGATCCATGTTGCACATATTCAGAGTGGTCTGAGCCAGATGGGAAATTTACATGCTTTTGCAGCTAATAACACCAACAGAGACTGAAAAATTTTCTTTCCAAGTGTACAACAAGTAGTTCTGGAAAATCCTCTTCCTTTATATAGGCTTCACCAAATATCCTAACTGCCAGAAGATAAGGGAAAAGAAAACCTCTCAGAAAGGACCCTTTTAAATATATTATATCTGCTTCTTAAGAAAACCAGCATTATTGGCCAGCGCTACAATAGATTTCTCCATTTGTTATTCACATACAGTAGTTTTGCTAACTGGTAATCTCTTAGTAATTGCATTTATTATAATAAACTTGAAAGCATACTTTCATATAATTTGAACTTAAGTTTTTAAAAGTTCAGATGTTTTCCACATGCCTCTCGCTGTTGGCTGTCCCGGTATGTTAGAAGTGATGAAGAGGAAATGGCTCAAATTAGTAGCCACATGGCAAGTCTTTCTTATGCAAAGCTACGCTTCTGCGTAGGTGTCAAGAGTTGCCCTTTCAGCCTTCAGGTAGCCTGGTGACAAGGCAGGGTGAGTGTTCCTGATCTAAAGAAGCAGCAGCAGGATACGGACAGCAAACAGAAGCTGTAAACTTGAGGATGTTGGGCAGGTCTATCAATCAGTCAGTGTCTTGTTGGAACTTTTAATTTATCATAACTTATAGAAGGAGTCTAATGAAGGAATATAAAAATGTAACTGGTAACTCTCCAGAAAGAGATTGGTTGTGGCTTTTTCCCTTCACACAGGGCAAAAGAAGTGCTTTAGTTGGTATTTTATATAAATGACTGGTTAAACATACTGTTTTTCCAAATTTTTGTTTGTTTTGCACAACTTTTAAATTAGATTACTGGTTATCCAACAACACCCAACATATATAAATATGAAAATTTTTATAATTAAAGATAACCAGTGAGGCAACTGCAAAAATAAAAAGTGACAACCTGCCTATGAGTACCTTTGGGAATGTTAATCTTGTAAAAAGTGTGTATTGGTTTGTTTAAATAGTCTTGTAAAGCTTCTGTGTAATGAATTGTTTCCAGATATGAATTTTCAGAGATAGCTGTAGAGATGTTTTTGATTCCTTTAGATGCCTCATTAAATGAGGTCTTTTATATGTTAATGTACAAAGAATATGTAAACAGGATTATTTTCAATTTTAAAATTTTGTATAGTTTAAAGATGCTTCTGTATTCTGTGTTGGTATTGTGCCACTGCAAAACTTTAGTGCAGAGTTTATATTTAGCTAAACTTGTTCTGTTAATTAAGAAAAATGCATAAATCTTTTATTCTCAATGAAATTTGTAACTCTGAATAAATTGACCTATGAGAGTTGATATATTTCACAAAAATGCAAACTTTCTTGCAGATGGTCTCAGGTCATTTTTTTGAGAGAAGTTAATTTAATTGCTGAAAATTACAATGTTATGAGGTCACGGTGAGTAGCTGTTTTAAAAGGTATTTAGAAACTTTTCAAGGGCTATTACAAAATAATGCTAAACACTAATTTTGCTGAGTTACCCATGGAAATTTACCTCTTGTAATGCAATAGAACATTGTAGTGATTGCTGCAATTGCTTTTGTTAATTACGTTACCCACTTTTTTGTGGTGTTACCATCTGTTTGGTAAAGAAGACAGAAAGGTCCTCTCCCACCACCCTTTTCATTTAAACAGAGAAAGGTACCAAAGCCTAACTTAAGGCACATAGGTTTAGTCTGACAGTAGGTGATGTGATATGCAGGAAAAAGGAACCGTCCCCTCACACCCCTATCCTTGTCATCTGCCTGCTCCTAAAACCCGCTACCCTGTCAGCTCAGGGCGCTGTGCTGCTGAAGAACAGTTCACCATTTCTGTCAAGTTTTCTGCCTGTGTAGTGCACTGAACTCCCTCACTGCCGGGGCAATGCGTGCTGGTGCTAGCACAAGGAAACAGCAAGGACTACCTTTCCCAGCAGCAGCTGGCTGGCTCGCCATACCAAGGCTCTCTAATCCCTTACTGCTCTGTCAGGGCTCTGCTTGCGTACTTGGAAGTTAAGTGTATGCATGGAATGCTTTTGTGGGATAGGACTTCCTGATACTACGCATCAGGAGGCTAACTTTGCCCTCTTGATAGCAAGCGTCCGAAACTGAGGGAGGGAGAAGTTGTAGACACTGGTGGATACCATTACCAAGAATGGTATTCAGCAAAGAGGATTTGGGAACCTGCTTTTCATGACAAACTTGCTGGGTACAGAATACGCTGTAATATCCACCATGCTCCAACCTTAACTCTGATTCCGTAAGTATGTTGGGTTTTACATGTGGATTCTTAAATGTGCTCTTCCCAATGTGTTTTGTGTTGATGTGGGGTGTTTTTTTAAATCATTGCAGGGTAATATCATATAATAGGAAGACACATAATTTGTGATAAGCGTATCCATGTACTTTCACGTACTTGCCAACTGACATAGGCAATGTGAACACACATGCCTCTTTGAGAGGCTGCATTTCTCCTTTGTTATTGATGTGTTGGCTCAGAGCTAATGTTGACTTTTGGTGAAATACCGAAACAAGTGTGACTGTTTCTGCTGACTGTGCCCTAAGCATAGCAGGAATCTCAAGAACTCACTACAACTACTGTAACTTAAGTCTGCAGGCATAGAACAAGTTAGTTTGGTTTCTTACAGTCAGTAAACTTGAATTCATCCTCTATCTCCAGGAAATGATTGCCTCATCTTCTGTCTCCTCCTGTAAGTAGTTCCCTTCTGGGGTCTTCCCGATCCTTAACATAACAGCTCCTTAGGCACCCAAGTCCACTTGGGACGGATCTTGTGTCTGATTTTGTTTGGTCGGTTGTTTTTTGCTTCATGTTCTTTTCAAGGGCAGTTCTGGTTTTTTGGAGGGACAATATTAATCAGCAATCCTGCTATGCCACTTAGCCATACAAGCAGTTCAACCACAATTCAGCTGTCCCAGATCTTGCAAGCACAGGTATGTTATGGGCTGACACTGAGGGATTTTGTGGGTTGGTAACCTTATTCTGCAGGGCATGATTGCTGATCGAGGGTGTTTCTGTCACCACTACATGGGTCACTTTTTCTGTGCTTCCAAACCATCAAAGCCTCAAGGCATTCAGGAGCTCTTCCATAACGTATCTGACAACTTGCTCTGAAGTACAGCTTTGTAGGCAGGAAGAATTGGCCTTATCCTCAAAATACATATATAGTAATATATCCTTCCTTAATAAATTGACTGAATTACAGGAGAGGCTGCTGTTACTACTAATTTTGGTGTTCTTAGCGCAGAGCCATTCAGTCCACTACCAGTCCTGTGAACAGGCTCTGTGTAGTCCCTAGTATTCAAATTCAAAGCTAAAGTGCCTTTACAGTGTTCACAAAATACTCCTACTTTTCTGTAGTTTAACATTAACTTTGGCTTAAGTGGCAGAGCTGAGGCTTTTGTCTGAGCAAGACAATGATTTGGTTTGGGTTTTGTATTCCTTAGGCCATACGTTTGCATTTTCATTCAGGGATGGGGATGGTTGTTTAGAGCAGACCTAAAGCAAATGCTGACAGAGAGGGTTTAAGGCAATTTTTGTAACCTGTCCTTCAGGCCCCTTTGGTCTCATTCACATCTGAACGGCAGCCATGGCCCTCCAGGACCTCCGAAGAGAACCTGCAGATGGGATATCTGCCACCTCTCTTCTCTACCCCACGTTGGCCAAGGTAAGGACCCCTGACCCTGCCCCAGGTACACGCACAAGTAGAGCAAAAATGTAAACCTTTTATTTTTTTTCTCCCCCACTCCCGTCAAAAAAATCCCAACAGTCCATCCTACTCTTCTACTTTTTTTAAGACTAGCCCCTACTCCCAAAACACCGTGGGTGCGGTTAGCTTTTTGGCTAAAGAAGGTTAAATAGAAATACAAAACATGCTAATGGAAATCTTTAAATACAGCGTAAAAAGATGCCCTCAGCTGATGGAGGTGACCCGTATCTTTCTTAAATAAATAGGTAAAATCAGTTACTACCGGATAAAGTGCAACACTCGCAGAGCAGGGGTGAGGTAGAGCGGTATGTGACTGCTCCCCGCCCGAGCAGCCTAACCCCAGGACGGGGTTTGGCGGGGGAGGACTTGGCACCAGGGCCGG